AAAAAAAAAAAAAATACTCAAGATTGTATATAAGAATAAGATTGCAAAGCGGTGAACAAATTTTCAACATGGCCATTCCCCTCTGGTGTAGTTATTACCCATTCTAAAAACAAGTTTGTGAAATCTTAATTACTTTACCCTGTTTGAGGAGAAGTGATAATAGAATGTCGTATTTAACATACATATAGAAAAGTTTCCTGTAATCGTTGTGTACCTAGCTAATAATTTTATGATTCATTTGGCATAATATAGTTTATTTTCTGCCACTAAATAAAACATAAAACAAATTTTAATTCAAAAAAACATGTCCTATGTCCTGAAAGACATCAACCAGGGAATTGCTGAGTTAACTATTTATGACTGTTAATTTGGAAATCAGCCTCTTAAAATGTTGAAATTTGATATACAAAGGCTATGAGAATGATACTTCTGCAATAAAATTTGCTACATAGTGAAAATGTATTCTTTGTTTGTTTGTTTGAGTTTTTTTTTTTGTAATTTTTGGCCAGGGCTGGGTTTGAACCTGCCACCTCTGGCATATGGGGTTGGCCCCCTACTCCTTTGAGCCACAGGCACTGCCCGTGAAAATGTATTCTTTAGAATAGTTTTTAGATAGCTCTTATCTTTCCTGCTGCCAGTATGCAGATTCATTTCTTTGACACGCTGACGAATCGAGGCCTAATGTAATCCTCACTCACAGAACAGAGAACCCCTGGGAACAGAAAGATGCGCAACAGTGGGGTATCCGAGGAAACAACACTGAACTTTTCCCACTTGGATTTTTCTGAAATCAGCCCACAATTTAAAAAACAAACAAATACCTTCCCTCTTATTAATTTTTGGCTTGGATCATACAAGTGGTTCTAGAAAAAAAACCACAAAAGCAAAATCCTGAGAGCACCCTTTAAGATCAGTATCAACCTAAATTAACCTAAATTTATAATGTTACTATGTCACCCCAAAGTTTGAATTTTAAAATATTAGTGAAATGTTAGGAAAGTGGGAAAACTGGACCCAATATCAAGATTAAAAGGTATTTCAATTTAGGAAACATTTATTTGATGTCTCTTTGTGTTCAGCATCCTAAGGAAAAGAATGGTAAATGGATTTAATCCCTGCTTCTGGGGATTTACAGTCTAGTGGGGGAATTAGCTAAAAATTAGGAAAATTATACCTAATATAGGCAGGACGGCTGACCCAGACCTTTTAGGAATGAAAATTTAGGTTACCCATCAGTCAAGTAACCATGGATAGCTAACATACTTGTTGAAAACAAAGAGAATATGAAATGAATAGTATTACAAATGGAGTTATAATACAGTTATAATACCAGCTATGACCATCTGATCAGTTGCAGAAACAAAGATTGCGTCACTTATGAGTGATTCTTCCTTATGTTGATGTGACTGAATTTGCTTTTTTGTGTGTGTGTGTGAGACAAAGTCTTACTATGCTGCCCTTGGTAGAGGGTGGTGGCATCACAGCTCACAGCAACCTCAAACTCTTGGACTCAAATGATTCTCTTGCTGCAGCCTCCCTTGTAGCTGGGACTACAGGTGCCTGCTACAGTGCCCGGCTACTTTTTGTTTGTTTGTTTGTAACAGGCTCAGGCCGGGTTTGAAGGATTTGTACCCACCAACCCTGGTGCATTTGGTCGGTGCCCTAACTGCTGAGCTACAGGCGCCATATGCAAATGGGGAATTTTCTATTCCCCACTTTCATTAACCTATCATCTAATTCTTTTTATTATTATTATTATTAAATCATAGCTGTGTATATTAACTAACATCTAATTCTAACAGAAGAAGTGCTAATAGGAGTTAACCTTATATCTCAGGGTTTAAGTCCCAGGTGTCAAGCTGAATGTGATACAATTCAAAAAGGAATCAACATCACTCAAAAGTGGATAAAGAGGTTTTGTATCCTGTTTGGGGAGAGAATTAGCGTGGGATGGTTGATTTTTGCCATTGTCTTCATTTGGAAGTTCAGTGTGATTAAAAGGTGTGGATGGAAGCTATGTTGACAGGTGCTAGACAGTGGTGGGTTTGTATTATGTCAGTTGAACAGACCAGTAGATACATTTTTCAGAATTCCTTTCCCTTTATTCCTGGGGTTAGTGTACAAGAGACATTTTTCATGAGATTTTGAAGGCTAGATTGAAACAGCAGCTAAATTCCTTTTATATATATATAGAGAGAGAGTCTCACTTTATCACCCTGGGTAGAGTGCCACAGCATCATAGCTCACAGCAACCTCAAACTCTTGGGCTCAAATGATCCTCTTGCCTCAGCCTCCCAAGTAGCTGGGACTATAGGTGCAGCCACAAG